CGACGTCCAGCGACTTCGTCGTACATGCTGGGTCCCCACACCGACATGCTGCGCGAGATCCACAGCTTTTTGCTGCCGTCGTCGCCCTTGCGGTCGCTCTCGCGGCGGCGTAAACAATCGCATGGACGGCGCAAAGCCATCATGCAGTCCACCACGCCGTACCATGGAAGAGCTCTCGCTGCGCGACGACGCGCCGTGGCTCGACCTCGACGAGATCGCCGGCCTCGACCTCAGCGTCTAGTTTGGTCAAGCCATGCCAGGCCGATACAAGCGTGCATCGCTGGAGAGTTATGACTCCAGGAAGCGAGTAGCCCAGAGTCTGTGTAGTCTGTGCGTGCGTGGTGTATATAGGATAGGACGAGGCGCCATGTACGGATGATGTCTGGAAGCGACCCTATACCCCAGTTGGAGCCTCTTGGCGACGGTCTCATCCGGCACAATATGATCGAGAGGAGATATATGCCTCTCGATACCTCTCGATCTCTCTTCGTGGCGTAACGCAATGCAACTGTCTGCTACCTACGAGATGACTCTCCCCTCGCTGCGTTTGTGTTGCGTTGCACCGCGGAAGCCACCACACGCGGCATGGACGGACTCTTCGACTTGGGTATGGACATGTTTCTCCCGACAACCGTCGAGCTACGCCAGCGCGGGCTGCGTGGCGCCTGGCGCGATGACGGTGCTGGACGCTCGCCTGCACACGGCGGTCGATGTCAACCAACGAGTGCTTCCTCCAAGGTGGACCACTGTGACAACCAACGAGTGCTTCCTCCAGGGTGGACCAAAGCCACAAATACCGTATTTATGCTCGAAAGAATGACACTGCGATGCGTTCTACTTGTACAGTAGTCCATGGTTGTGATGGCTGGCCGTGTTGTGGTGTCAACGCTGTAGAGTCCATGGTCTCACGCATCCAATGACAACGCCTGGTATCCTGCGAAGGGCTTGTTGGCATGTCGGCCTCGGCTCGTTTCCTAGCGCTTGTAGTCCATCAATGCATCTTGTAGCGGACACCGATCGGCGTCGAAATAGCTATGGCGTTACGACACCTCGCTCCCGCGACGCCTTCATCCACCGGCGCGTTGGCGACGTTGTCGGTTCTGCTGCTCCTGGTTAAAGCGACACCTCGAATCTTGTTGCTGTTGGTCCGGAAATTTTGGAGCGTCGTCGTTCTCCGCTGCATTGCGCAGTGAGAAATTCTGCCGCGCTCTTGCAGGTTGCGCTCGGAGCCACTCGGTCCGAAATACTCGGTCCATGCGTCAAGTGTCCGTTACGGTGCCACGTGGCGCGTCGACCGATCGCGGTATAGGCCTGGCACATACAGTGCCACAGGCTGTGCTTCTTGCGCGTGCTGTCTGTACCACGGGCGACAGGAGGCTCGAGGACGCTTAGAACCAAGGCGTTGTCGCCACGCGCCCGGCCGTCACCCAGCGAATGCACTCGAGTGGAGCATAACGTCACGGCATCGTGGTGGCCTTGACGTAACCGCTTCCTTTGCATCGACATCTGTCTTCGTGTCTCCTATACGGTTTCAAAATTTCACACCATGCAAAGAGCTCTCTGCCAATGGGCTGCTGTGACACACACGACAGACCTCTCTCATTCAAATCATCGTTTGGATCGCTGCGTTGATCTCACTTCTTTTCTTTCCAAGACCCACCACATCAACACCATGGGCTGCACGCAATCCAACACTGCTCTCGAGACCGCCCCGGCGTCGGCCCCCCGCTCGGCCGCGCCCCGCTCGGCGGCCCCGATCGCGTCGGCCCCGAAGAGCGCCTCGGAGATTGTCGACGCGCCGACGTCCGACATCCCGGAAGCCTCGGCCCGCCAGTACCTCATTTCGGGCCAGTCGATCAACGAGCAGGGCATTGTTGTGTACC